AGCATTGATGCCCACCTCTTCTTGACAGCTCATCCCACCTGAGATCTCCACCCACACTCCCACATTATCTTACACCTATGTCTTTGCGACAGGTGGACAGAGGTGGAAAGCGAACGCAGCTGAGTTGACTTTACCAACCCAGTTCATAGTCTGGTAAAGATCTGCTGAGTGGATTCGTCTGTTGACGTTCTGAAACCCTGTTTTGTCTTGACTCTCTGGGTGTGTTTGGTCGGCCGAGTTAGCTGACTACAAAAGGGAGACCCTTTTTTTGTTATTTTTAGCATTTGAAGAGGACTGAAAAGGTACTCGCTTACCTTTTCTACACTCACCCAGATTTATTTTTAAAGAATCATCTTCTGCTGGTGGAAAGTCTCCAGTGAACAATCACCATGTGGGAGTTCCGGTCTATGAATTTTTGGCGGGCAGTCTTTGCAGAGTTCTTCGGGACCATGTTCTTCGTATTTTTTGGCATGGGCGCTGCACTGCGCTGGACCACTGGGCCTCATCATGTCCTTCATGTGGCCCTGTGCTTTGGGCTGGCAGCTGCCACCCTCATCCAGTCCATCGGCCACATTAGTGGCGGCCATATCAACCCTGCCGTCACCTTTGCCTACCTTGTTGGCTCACAGATGTCTCTTTTCCGCGCCATTTTCTACATTGTTGCTCAGTGCCTGGGTGCTGTAGCTGGGGCTGCTGTGCTATACGGGGTTACGCCCGGCAACATGAGAGGCAACATGGCAATGAACATGGTAAGTAACTAACATGGATGTTCCAGAAAACAAGTATAGAACTGCTTAAAGAGAAGGCTTTTGGGCAAGTTGACTTCATCCATAGGCTACAGTTTGTGGTATCAGGCCAGGTATAGTTCAGTAACATGTTTGGGTTTTTTTTCAATCCAACTACAAAACCATAGTAAAAAAAAATTACTTGCAAAAAACAAATACTGCATTAAAAGTGATGCTAGCTAATTGATTTATCTGAAATAAAAGAACAGAAGTGTACTGATTCACTGCAGCTCTAAGACAAAAAGTCTGCAATGGTTTTTCAAATTTGTGAACATAATTTTATTCCACTTGTGTATCTCCAGCTGCAGCCTGGCATCAGCCTGGGCATGGCCACCACTGTGGAGGTTTTCCTCACCATGCAGCTTGTCATCTGCATCTTCGCCGTGACCGATGAGAGGAGAAACGGACGTCTTGGATCTGCTGCCCTCTCCATCGGCTTCTCTGTCACCATTGGTCATCTCATGGGGGTGAGACACATGAAAATAACTTTATGACAATTGTAAAAATGTGCACAGATGAGTACAAACATCTTACAGCACAATACATTAACGAGTGTCTTGTGTTTTAGATGTACTACACTGGTGCTGGAATGAACCCTGCTAGGTCCTTTGCCCCTGCTGTGCTCTTCAGAAACTTTATTAACCACTGGGTAAGACCTGAAATCTCACAGAAGAGACCAATCAATCCCTCAGCTTTTCACTTCACCCTCAGCACGACTCATAAATGACTGAACAGTGTGTGATGAATGATGAATGTGAATTTTGTTGCCGGCAGGTGTACTGGGTCGGGCCTATGATAGGAGGTGCCATGGGTGCCCTTCTTTACGATTTCATGCTGTTCCCGCGCATGAGGGGTCTTTCTGAGCGCCTGGCCACGCTGAAGGGCAGTCGGCCCCCTGAGAGCGAGACCCAGCAGGACACCCGCGGGGAGCCCATCGAGCTCAAGACGCAAGCCCTATAAACCTGCCCCTGCCCCCTTCTCTGACTGGGGTCGAGGGATGAGGGACAAGGCCCTGAGCTGCGCCAACTCCACCTCCACTGCCCCCGCCTCATGCCTTCACACACCACCGCACAACACTAACCCAAGTACACACATGTAGACTAACACGTAATAGGATTTACCAGCGCCACTGTAAAAACCGACATACATACAGGTTCACCACCTTCAACCTCAGCACACAACAAGACTCCTTGACCAGCAGTCCTCACTCTGTATTCTGAACTGGACATTGTGTTATTGATAAATGGTGACCAGAGCCTGAACCAGTAGCCGTCTTGTCTCTCCCTGCCCGTCTGCTTCCTCCTCCCAGCCAGGCCTTCATCTGCAATGCAGAGGAGAGTGGAAACCCTGAAATCGAGCAGAGTGGTTCGGGAGGGGGGGTGGTTGTTGGAAAGGGAGGCAGGATGAGGGTGAGGCAGGGATGTGGGTTTGATATAAGAAGGGTAAGAGGACATGGGCCAGGTGAGGGTGGAGTAGAGGGGTGGGGATTGGGGTTTGGGTAGGATAGAGAGGGCAACACTCTGGGTTTGTGGTCGTTTCAGGTTGGGTTAGACCAGTGAAGATGGGCATGCTATTCATTATTCATCTGAATTTATCTCCATTTTAGTTTTTTTTTTTCTTTTTTTTTTCTGCACTTCAGACACAAGACGTGGATGTATGATACCATTAGATTTTACCAGGTTTTCATTATTTTCAATCACTACATTTTATCTGTGGGTTTGTGTTTGTGTGTGTGGACACCTCTGCAGTATGTGTGTGTGCAAGTGTGTGAGTGAGAGTGAGCGTGTGCACGTGTGTGCGCCTGCCTGTACGTATGAGTGTGTTTGCAAGTGAGTGTGTATATGTGTGTATATGTGCGTGATCAAGATTGCCGATACAGTACTTTTTATTTTGTTTTCTTTTCATTACCACTCTCCTGTTTCGTACCATTAACTGTGTTCATTTTGTCATCAATTTTTAAGACATGATCATTTCTCCTCCCCTCACTGTGGTATTTGCTATGATATTCATTTTTACATAAACCATCTGCTTTTTTGTTCTGAACCAGCGCAATCCAAAGCAAATGTTGTATCCCAGACTTCAATAGTAGGTCTGCAGATCGGCTGTGCGAGCTTTACATTGAGTCTCCTTTTATTATTTGATCCTTACTGGGAGCACAAGGTGTTTCAATAAAAATTTCAATGATAATAAACATAAAAACTTGATACGAGGGTTGGCTCATTCTTGCTCTTTTAAATTGCACATTTTATGGACTTAGTGGTCAAGTAGGAAAGCGTGAGTTGCAGTGAGTAATTATGGCCAGAAGAGGGAGAAAAGAGCACATGACAGACTTAAATCTCAAACTTGAATCAGCTGAATGAGTGTTGAACAAAAAAGGAATCATATGGCGAGAATACATATGCTGTAATATATTGTATTTGTTTGAGGAATGTAGTTAAGGGAGGGGATGTTTGTGTAAAACAGGGTCCACCCTACAACAGCAGTATTGCCACAGTCTGATAAGAACTGTGGTCAAAGCTGACACATGCATGTATCTCTGACCGTCTTCTGTTCTAATGCATCACAGCTGATAAACTACAGACTCCACCTTCAGAGCCCAGACAAAAAAAATCCCGTAAAGAGGTCAAAACTAACAATTCAAGAATCAAACGAGCAAATATTGTGTTATTCCTCTGTGTAAGAAACTCAACTGTTACAAAAAAAGCTCTAAATCAGACGCTTTAGTGAAGCACAATGTTGCAGTGCGTGACATGGTTCTTTATTATGATGAACCTTGGCACTGAAGCTTATTTTGAGGAGATGCCACATACTCCATCCGACTGCAGGACACCACAAAAGTGTCAAATGTGTATCAATCCACTGCTAAAAATTGTTGGCAACAAATGTAATATTTAGTCCTGTTTGAGAAAGTTTCCTAAAAATTTGGGGATAATTTTTTAGCCTTAGAGCTAAAAGCTACAGACAGGTGGAGATGGAGCATAGAAAAGAAAGCTAACTAACAATTTTTATCTGTTTGTATATTTTATAGAAAAATATAGAACATCATTATCCTTTAGGTTACATACTAGGTGGTCACATTAAAGACTATAGGCCATATTGTACAGTATAAAACAAAGCAAACAACAAAAAAAACAGCATTTTTCTACAAACTCTGGTCTGTTGGGTTTATTTAAAAGAGCAGCTACCGTACAATAAATATGAGGCCACTACCAGTAGCTGGTTTGCTTATTTTAGCTTGAAGACTGCAAACAAGGTGAAAGTGGGCTTTGCTTTGACCAAATAAAACTAAATCCACTCAATCAGCAACTCAAAAATGTATCCTGATTAATCTGTACAAAAACCAAAGTCTTAAAGCGACAAATCACCGTTTTATGGGAACTATGTCTCTATTTATTGGTCCAGAGTCGCTGCCATGCAACCAGCAGATGCTAGGGGAAGTCACTGCATCCAGCTGTGGCACATAACCTCATGTAAAACTACAGCTTCTCATTTTTACTCCCAGATTTTTTAGAAGGACTGAGCAAACAAGCTATTATTTGTTGATCAGTGAGCTAACTGGCTGCAGCTTCACGTTTATTGTCCAGACATGAGGCTGATAATCTTCTCATCAAATTCTTCACAAATCAGTTGAATAAAATGTTGAAAAACTCCTGTATCCCTTTTGTAGTGGTGGAAGAAGAATTCATATCCTTTACCTAAGTAAAAATATTAATAATCCATTGTAAAATACTCATGCATTTACAATGTTGCTTAAAAGTACCCCCCAAAAAGTTCTCTCTACTTCTAGCCACGTTTCTTTTTTTTTTTTCTGTTTTCATAGATGTGCTGGAGTTTATATTGCAGTGAAACATGAGCACACATTGAGTAGAAATGTGACAGAAGCAAAAAGCACCCAGAATGCTAAAAGCACATTATCCATCCATCCATTATCTATACACCTCTTAATCCTTGCTAGGGTCGCGGGGGGGAGGGGGGCTAGAGTCTAAAGCACAGTACTGGAGTAAATGTAGTTAGTTACATCTCACAGAATACTTATGCCTTTTCAATTAAACAATTCCAGGTCATCAGTGTAAAGTATCTCAGTGACATAAAGAAATGTCGGTGACTCATGTGTGACTCTCAGAACTGCTGCAGGTCTGTATGGAGCAACTACGACTTACAAATACAATCCTCAAGTCTTGCACTCTGATCACACTCAGAAAAAAAGATAGCATGTCTCATTTAGAAATATTCATTTTATTTTGCATATTTGTTTAAAATGAGATGTATGGCTTGTTTTAAGACTACTAAGGTGGTGCTACGGCACCAAGAGACTCCAGTATCAGTATTCTGCAGCTGGAAAAAAGACAAAGAAACAACTCTGACCAGTACAAGTGGCTGGAAAAGGAGCTCCGTCCTGACACTGGTGTTTACTGCATCGCTCTGTTTCTCTCTTGCTCACTCACACACACAGACAGCAAACACACACTCACTCACACACACATCCAAACACATTTACTTGATATGTATCGACAACTATGTAACTGAATATCACAAAACCAAACAGTGTCCAAAGACCGAATCCAAAGACATTCTTGCTCTAAAGGTTGCAGGTCAAGAAAGCCTAATAAACAGGGTGCCCAGGTAGCTCAACTTGTTGAGCAGGGACTCATAAACAGAGGCTTTAGTCCCAGATGTAGCGGCCATGGGTTCGAATGTGACCCACGCCATTTGCTGCATGTCCTTCCCCGACTCTTCTCCCCACATTTCCTGTCTCTCTCTCTCCACTTTCTGCTATAATAAAGGCTAAAAAGCCCCCAGAATAACTTAAAAGAAAGCCTAATATGCGGCTACAGGAAATGTATGTGATGAATATTGTGTTTTAAGTGTTTAAGTCATTCTCTGAGTAATGGTCTAGCAGTTGCAATACAAAAAAACAATATACCAGTGTTGTCTACCTTATTCATGCTCATCCTCTGTCGTCATAATTGCATATTCTGTGATAATCACCTTGTAATAACTTGCCAGCAGTAAAACAACAAAAGGAACAAAAGGGGGGGGTACAATAAACATTTTGTTCATCTGACATAAGTGACTAATAAAAATGACAAATGGAACCAGGTACAGAGAGAGAAATCTAAGGCCATAGACAGAAAGGTAACCTTGAGGAGGAGGTAATTGGACCTGTGTTTCTGACAGAGGAACTGGCTCTCAGCTTGGCTTAAATCCAGCATTCAGCTCAGTACCTGTAGAGAAACTGCAGCCACAGCATCGTGTCAAACAGACATATTTCTCATTGTCTTTACCCAGGTGCTCTCCGACAGTCAGACTGCCTCCAAACTCAGCAGTAAGAAAGAGAGACAGAGAGAGAGAGAGAGAGAGAGAGAGAGAGACATCCAGAAGATTACCAGTCGTCTGATTCCAGTCCCTGACTGCTGCCACTTATGAAAAACATTCAGTGTATGCTGATGACAATAGCAGTAGAACATTTTCATTAACTATTACAACAATAATATATAAAAAACAGGAATGAGAGTGCTCTCGAAAAGCCCTTTTGATTACATCACACTCTCTGATCCAGTCTCTTCCTGATGATGTCACAGGTCAAGAGTCACGCTGTTTTGAATCATCAGGTTGGCGGCCGCAGCTCGGCTCGGAGTGGCTCACTGCATGCGGTCGGGCTGGTGCAGGGGGTAGTGGAGGAAGGCCTGCGGGGCGGCCGACACAGTGGTGAGCGCAGCCAGAGGAGGGTGGATGGCGGCCGGAGGGGTCGGGGAGGCAGTGAGAGCAGGCGCTGGCGTACCAGGGGAAAAGCTGTAGCTGAGGTAGCCGGCGGAGGGCGACGGTGAAGGGGTGTAGGGGTACTGCTCCAGCCCTGTGGGGGCGTAGGGGCTGTAGGCCGAGCTGTAGTCCAGGTATGGGGAGGTGAGTGCTGCGGCTGTGGGACTCAGATGAGACTGAAGCAGGAGGCTGGGCTGAAGGAAGGCCTGGGGGTAGACGTACTGCTGGGAGAGCCTGGAGGGACGGAGGAACAAAAAGTGAGTGCAAGAGTCAAGTCACCAGCCATTATCTAATAATTCTATTCTCTATTCTAGAGAAAAGCAAAAAATGCCCATCACAGCTTGCTAGAGACCAACAGCCGAAAGCTTCAAAATCATTCAGGTTACTACCATGTGCAACAGGTAAAAGCTGCAAAATTTCCCTTCTGAGAACATGGAATCTCAAATATGTCCCATTTGTTCTTGAAAAGTAACTTAAATAATTAAACTATTATCAAAAATGTTGCCAATGAATTTTCTATCAATCAACTACTTGATTAATTTACTAATCATTGCAGGTCTGTTAATAAACATAGCAAGAAAAATGCCAGAAATGTTCTTCTCCGCTTCTCAAAAGTGAATATTTGCTTTTCTATTATTGTGGTAGACTTTATTTGTATTTTTTTTTTGGACTATGCCAGCTCTGGTATAAATGTCATTTATCAAATCAAATGATATGTTATTTAACAAAGGAAATAATCAGCAGAATAATCAACAGTGATAATAATCATCACCCACATTCAAATATACATGGGATTACACGCTGATAGGTACAATACCACATAACAGTGAGCACATGTGGAAAAGAGCATAATTGTGGGGTTTATATAAACATATATATTCTTGCCACTTTCTCTTTCATGATCATTTAGTCACTCACTTAAACTTAACAAGGGAATTCCCTCTGGATGACAACCTTGACTTTTAACATGCCAAACTAGGTAATTATTATGCAACTATGTCATTAAGAGCTTTATTTTGTTTTAAAATTCAAATACATATTAAATTTCATTGAGAATTATTTTTGTTACTTATTCTTCCAAAATCAAGGGTTTTCTACTGTCTGTATATATATAGGAGCATAATAAGTCTCCGGGTCATGACCTGTAACAGTTTTGCTTTGCTAAGATTTGCTGTTTATTTTTTTAATCTCATGAGATCTTATGCACAAATTAATTTTCCCCTCAGGATGAACCTCTGACTCAAAATTTTAATTTCAACCTCATTTATAGTTTGTCTTTGATGTTAATTAACTAAATTGCAAAGTCCAACATGGTAAACACTAATCTATCATGTTAGTATGTTACTGTGCAAACATGCTAATTTAGAAGTTAAGTTGTGAAGTTGAAGTTAAGATGTGCAAAATAACAAACAGAAGGACAAAACAAAACATCCATCCATTATCTATACACTGCTTAATCCTCACTAGGGTCATGGGGGGCTGGAGTCTATCCCAGCTGACTTAGGGTGAAGGCAGGAGACACCCTGGACAGGTCACCAGTCTATCACAGGGCCACACTTAGAGACAGACAACCAAGCACACTCACATTCACACCTACGGACAATTTAGAATCACCAATTAACCTCAACATGTTTTTGGACTGTGGGAAGAAGCCGGAGAACCTGGAGAACGCACGCTGCACGGGGAGAACATGCAAACTCCACGCAGAAAGATCCCACATGTCATAACCAGGACGTGAACTGGGGATGTTCTTGCTGCGAGGTAATGGTGCTAACCACCGAGCCACCTTGGAACCCCAAAACAAAAATGAAACAAAAGAAAAACAACCCAGAAAAGCAAACATGTAGGTCAGTGTATGTCATGTATGACATGAATAGTAAAGAAAGATAAGAGACAAGGCTGATATTCCTCTTCTGCCTCAAGAATGACAAAGTGTAATAAAATTCACACACAGGCCACGTCTGAATCTGTGTCTGAATAGCTGGTGGCAATGTCAGGACAATGTGTCTACAGAGCTGCCACTCAGTCTAACAACAGCAATAAGAGACACCGTACAAACACAAACAACCTCAGTGATGCCAGTTGACATCAGTTCCTTCAGTAATTTCACTATTTTCATTATATCCCAAATACCGAGTCCTATAAAGGCGTGCTCCTCCTTTAAGAGCAATTATCAGCACTGTTGCCCTAAAATAGAGCGTCTCCCTTGTGTTTAAGTTTAATTAGCACACTGCCTGAGAATCGTTCAGAAAAGAAGCTTTGATCCAAATGAAACATTCAACTATGAAACACTAAATTGCAAGAAATGACTCTTCATCTGTTCTTCTTTTGCACTATTGTGTATGAAATGGACACCTGTGCACTCACACTCACTCACTCACACTCACACACACACACACACACACACACATACACACAAAACTTGCCACAACGGATGAAATGCATGAGATCATTGGTACTCTGGGCCGCAGCGATAATGAGAGAAAAAAACAAAACAAAAAGCGCTCGACTGTCCTCCTGTATTCAGTCATGCCTTTGCCTAAGGCTGCCCACTTAACCTGAACTGCCTCAGTTACATCTGGCAAGAGTAACTGCGATCATATCAGAGGAACAAGGCTATGCTGCGGCGCTTAAGTAAAAACAACAGAACATGACAGTGTTTAACACTTAGAGTCCCGTGATCAGCGCCTGCAGTCCAACTCATTAACCTGACAGTAACCTTGTCACTGAGTCTGAGCAGGTGATCGGAGCAGCGAGAGGCGGCCTGCTGCTGCTGTTTAGCCCTAAACAAGGATCAGGTGTGCTTTCACAACAAACACTGAGCTCAGGCCTGTTCACACCCACTCTGATGTGTACACAACACACAGACACACACCAGTATGAACATGGTAACTGCCAGGATATTCCAGCACCCATATGAGGATCTTAAACAAATTTAATCTAATTTAGCTCTTCTTTGAACTTACTTAACCCTGTTGTACTGTTTCAAATCAACAATGTTTTTACAGTTTGTTAAAATCTTTTGCAGCAGTGATTGGCTCTTTAGTTTCATGAACGTTACTCCTGTTTTTCAGTAGAGCTCAACCAATATATTGGTTAGCCCATATTAGCCTGTCACAGACATGTCAGTATTGGCACGTATGTTGTCCGATATGGGTCGATATGAAAACTTTTTGATTTTTTGGGGGGGTACAGATCAGTAAAGATAGGAGTAGTTTAGGAATGGTGTCATTGCACCATTTGTCCAGAAGAGTGCAACTTGTTTTGTACACTACTCTGAGCACTGCAGCACATGTAGCAGGGTACGGAGTCAAATTGTGGAGTCACAACAAGCTACTAAGCATCCATCCATCCATCCATCCATCCATCCATCCATTACCTATACACCGCGTAATCCTCACTAGGGTCATTGGGGGCTGGATTCTATCCCAGCTGACTCAGGGTGAAGGCAGGGGACACCCTGGACAGGTCACCAGTCTATCGCAGGGCTACACTTAGAGACAGACAACCAAGCACACTCATATTCACACCAATGAACAATTTAGAATTACCAATTAACCTCAGTATGTTTATGGACTGTGGGAGGAAGTCAGTGAGAACCCATGCTGCAAAATGACAACATGCAAACTCCACGCAGAAAGATCTCAGATGCAAACCTTCTAGCTATGAGGCAACAGTGCTAACAACTGAGCCACCATCCAGTCCAAGCTGCTACCTGGTTTGTGAAATACATCAGTACCAGAACCAGAAATACTTTATTGATCCCCAAGGGGAATTGGAAAATTAAGTTACCCCATTAGGTGGCTGTGTCAATAATGGGCATGTGTACATATATATATATACCAGCTGATATATCAATATTGCTGTTTTCTTGTATAAATCAACATTGGCAATGGCACCAAAAATCCAGTATAAGTCAAGCTCTATGTTTTTTGGAAGCATGCTGACTTACTTACAAAGTTTACTAAATTTGGTCACCTATAACAATAACTGAGTCGGTCAAACAACTGATGCTTTCACTTCTTTAAGCCGCAGTGCCAAACTTTTACATTTACGTAAAAGTCCATTACATTCAAGCCCTTACCTAATGATACACAACCATTATGATGGCAATGGAGTAGTGTAGGCGAGTATGGTGGGATCTGTGGTTAAAAAACCTAGGGAGTGTCCAAAAAAAAGTTTCTGATTTCTGATTTCCAGGGATAAAGACAGACTATGTGTTCATAGGAAGGATTACAGTCAAGAGAGGAAAGCAAGCGATGGCGAGGCATACGTCATAAGCACGTTTAAACTGTGCTTGTGCAATTAGTCTCACTGCCAGACAAAAGTTCTACGTTGCAGGTTTAGGTTGTGGGCAATTTTTAATATATATATTTTTATCCACCTTAAACAACATCTCCACAACTGAGGGCAAATGAACATCTTGGGTTCTATCATCAATAAACACTGGAGAATTCTGAAATACAGTAAGACTCCTTGTTCACATCACCAGGTCAAAGTCAGATTTGAAAAAAAAAAAAATCCATCAACTACTTCTTGTACATGAGAGTTAAGAACTTTGGTGATAAGTCAATAGACACCGATGTTATTGGACCTGTTCTGAAAATTCTCAATTGTAACTCAATTTAAAACCCTCTTTGGTCATTGATTAAACTGTATTAAAACAAACAAACAGACAAATAAAAAAACGTATCTATGTGTGTCAAAGTTAGATATTAAGAAGTGTTTTCCCCATGAAAATAATCCTTTCCTGCCTTAACATGGCAAAGATGTAATTCTATTCCTTGCCTCACTCTACTCGCACCTTACTTTCATCTCAACATGACTTTTTTAGAAGTATTTTAAAAAGTAGTTTTATCATTATAAAACAATAAACCTTGTTAACTGTTAAACCAATGAGAAAAGAAGGGACCAACATGTCACATAACCAAAACTTACTCATAAAATGTCACTTAAGAAGCTGATGGAAAAAGGGTTTAAAGGAGTTCTGGCCATGAAAGCACGGCAGTGATAAAGTCTGCAGACTGATGACGTATGGCAACATCCATCCATCCATTATCTATACACCGCTTAATCCTCACTAGGGTCGCAGGGGAGCTGGAGCCTATCCCAGGCGACTCAGGGCGAAGGCAGGGGACACCCTGGACATAGCACCAGTCTATCACAGGGCTACACTTAGAGACAGACAACCAAGCACACTCACATTCACACCTACGGACAATTTAGAATCACCA